GCAGGGAAGCCTGGAACATGTAGTCTAGCCTTGTACCTGGGAAAACAAGAAGCAAAGTTGGGGAACACTAGCAATCTTTGCCACTGTGGGCACATCCCTCACAGTCCTGGCACTCTCAGGGAAACACACTGAGGTTTCCTGTGAAAAACACAGGGTTGAGGAAATTTGGGGTATATCACATCAGGAAATTCACTTTTGGCCAGGCCTGGTAGCTCACACCTGAAAAATCCCAGCACTTTGGGAGGCCAAGGCAGGCAGATTGCCTGAGGTCTGAAGTTTGAGATCAGCCTGATCAACATGATGAAACTCTGTCTCTACTGAAAATACAAAAATTAGCTGGGCATGGTGGCACGCCCCTGTAATCCCAGCTACTCGGCTGAGGCAGGAGCATCGCTTGAACCCAGGATGGGGAAGTCACAGTGAGTTAAGATCGTACCATTGCACTCCAGCCTGGGCAACAAGAGTGAGACTTCGTCTCAAAAAGAAATTCACTTTTGCCCTGGGTTCTTTTGTTTGCTTTTTGTTTTGCTTCTTATTCTAGAGAGATGCCCTAGGTTCTAGATCACAAAAGGCTAAGAGTATGCAGGACAGAGGCCATTATTAGGGTGAAATAAGGACTCAAGGGCCAGAGACCAACAGTCATTACCATCAAAATCATCACCTTCAGTATCATCATCATCTTTATCATTTTTGGGGTTGTTGTTTGATCGGTATTCTTCCTGCCTCTGGGCTCCAAAAGCAACTGAAACATACCTGGGTTGTCAAACCTGCTGGCTGGCTGGGTACAGTGGCTCATGCCTATAATCCCAGCACTTCGGGAAGCCAAGATGGGGTAGATGACTGCAGCCTCAACCTCCCAGGCTCATGCGATCCTCACATCTCAGCCTCCTGAGTAGCTGTGCCAGCATAGGCCAGGCTAATTTTTGTATTTTTTGTAGTGATGGGGTTCTCTCTGTGTTTCTCAGTCTGGTCTTGAACTCCTGGACTTAAGTGATCCTCCTGCCTCAGCTCCCAAACTGCTAGGATTACAGCTGTGAGCCACCATGCCCAGCTGGCACTCTTTTATTTGTATTTTTTAAAGAGGTGGAGTATCACTCTGTTGCTTAGGCTAGAGTGCAGTGGCATGACCATGGCTCACTGCAACCTCCAACTCCTGGACTCAAGTGATCCTCCTGCCTCAGTCTCTCCAGTAGCCCAGCAGCTGGGACTACAGGTATGTGCCACCATGCCCAGCTAATATTAAAATTTTTTGTAGAGATGGGGTCTCATCATATTACTCAAGCTGGTTTCAAACTCCTCATCTCAAGTGATCCTCTCACCTTGGCCTCCCAAAGCACTGGGATTATAAGCATGAGCCACCCTGCGCAGCCCAGTTTTGGAACTTCGATCATCTCCAGACTTTGGAACCATTAGTCCCTGGGAGAATCACATGGAAGCGTATGAATCACAAGATGCAATGGCCTTGGAAAGTAACAGAATGATTTCTGCTGCCAATCAACCACGTGGTGCATGCGTAAGCGGTGGTCAAAGTGAGCTCATTTGCTGTTGGGCAATCAGAATACAAGTCCATCTTGTTAGCCAACAAATTGAAGTAGTGGCTACTGTGTGCTCACTTGCATGGGTGCAACAGAAGAGGTACAAGACAGATTCCTAACACTATAAACTCCCTGCCTTCAAAAAGCTTATTTTCTGGCTGGCAAGGTCACAGGCTGTAAGGGTGACACTAGGAACCAGCTCAAGCTCTGTACTCAGACCCAGAGTTGAATCCCTGCTTGCCACTTAACCTCCACAAACCTCGGTTTTTCCAACAGGGGTGGTAATTGCTGCTTCACAGGAGCTGTTATGAAGTGAAAGTGAGAGTATGTGTCATGGGAGGCTATCGTAATGCTTTCAATATATCATGTTACTGATTTATTTCCTGAGAGACAGGGTCTTGCCGTGTTGCCTAGGCTGAGATCATAGCCCACTGCAGCTTTGAACTCCTGGGCTCAAGCAATCCTCCCACCACAGCCTCCAGAGAGGCTGGGACTACAAGTGTCCATCATCGTGCCCGATTTTTTTTTCGTAGAGATGGGGCCTTAGTATGTTGCTCAGGCTGGTCTTGGAACTCCTGGCCTCAAGTAATCCCCCTGCCTCGGCCTCCCAAATTGTCAGGATTACTGGTGTGAGCTACCACTCCCATTACCTGTTAATTAATTAAGTTCTGGGGTACATGTGCAGGATGTGCAGGTTTGTAGGTAAATGTGTGTCATGGTGGTTTGCTGCACCTATCAACCCATCACCTAGGCATTAAGCCCAACATGCATTAGCTATTATTCCTGATGCTCTTCTCCTCCCGCCCCCACAACAAGCCTCAGTGTGTGTTGCCCCCTTCTCTGTGTCCATGTGTTCTCATTGTTCAGCTCCCACTGATGAGAACATGCAGTATTTGGTTTTCTGTCCCTGCGTTAGTTTGCTGAGGATAATGGTCTCCAGCTCCATCCATGTCCCTGCAAAGAACATGATCTTGTTCATTTTTATGGCTGCACAGTATTCCATGGTATATATGTGCCACATTTTGTTTATCCAGTCTATCACTGATGGGCATTTGGGTTGATTCCATGTCTTTGCTATTCGGAATAGTGCTGCAATGAGCATTACATAGGAATTGCACATTCATTGTAGAAAACACAGAAACAAAACTTTTTGTGCCTTTCCCAAGATGTTAGTCTCTGAAACGTGGCTTTACTAGAATAGCTATAATTGTGAAAACATGCCTGTATGCAAGGCACTATCCAGGGCTTCAAGTTATCACAGATAAGCAAATTAAAGAGTTGGTTTCTCCGATGCGCCCGTGTGTTGGATGCAGGTGGCAGAAGACCCACCTGCATCCAGCCCCCAGGAAAGCAGCCAGGAGGGTGGACTGCACTGAGGAAGAAAGACCCCTTGGGAAGTGGCAGGCCACTGTTGAGATGGCACCACCACCTTAATCTGTGTATTGCATGTTTTAAATGACTGCAAGCCCCAGCCTGGGCAACATAGTGAGACCCCATCTCTACAAAAAACAGACAGGTGTGATGGCATGTGCCTGTGATCCTGGCTACTCGGGAGGCTGAGGTGAGAGGATCACTTGAGCCCAGGAGGTCAAGGCGGCAATGAGTCATGATGGTACCGCTGCACTCCAGTCTAGATGACGGAGTGAGACCTCATCTCTAAAACAAATAAAACACAAAAACAGGCTATACACCACCATTTAAAATATTTCCCCAACTTTTTATTTGGAAAAATTTCACACCCACAGATGTTGAAATCTCAAGATATGAATGCTGCCTTCACATGCAGGATGCTTGACCAAAAAAAAAAAAAAAAACCACAAAACTTGGTGGCTTCTGTTCTAAGTTAATATCCAGACACCTTCTCTGCGGTTACCACAGAAGCTTGAGTGAGGGAACTTTCTGTCCTCAGAAAGTCTGTGGAGTGACTTTTTGGTAGTGTTTTCTCTTATCTCATTGGAAACGCAAGGTGGGCAGGACAGGATTCATTCTCATCTTACAAATGGGGAAACAAGCTCAGAGAGGTCAATGGATCTACCTGCTCTCAAGTCAGCAGATGACCTGGCTGAAACTGCAACTGAAGACTTCTGACTTCAGTAACTCAACATTCTACCACCACTTCCCGTCCTGGATATACAACTGGGGTAATGCCAGGGCTCCTTTTAAAAACAGGTGTGCAAAGGAAAGTGTTTCCGTCTCATCCTTCTGACAACTGCAAAGGAAATACTCCGCAGGCCTTGTGTGCATAGTGGCAGAAGTCATTAGGAACATGCAAAACCACAACGGAGCCTGGGAATGGGAAGATGCATGGAGAAGATCCTGCGAGGTCTGTGGCTTGCCTGTGGCTTAAGTGGAACATTTACTGAGTGCTTACACTGTCCCAGGTACTGTGCCTGGATCACAGAGCTGACAGTAAGGCGGTCCAGGAGTCTGCCCTGGTGGTGCTCTCATTTCAGTGGGCTCATCAGAGCCAGAAGCTGCAATGAGAGACTGGTGGATTGCAATGGGCCCACTCGGTGTTTTGTTTGGTCCAGATAGTGTTTATTTATTTAATTTTTTAATTTAAGTTGCTCACTTCTAGCTTCTGTGAAGCAGACAACTTCTGCTGGATTCCTGAATAAGTAGCAGCCTCCCCGCTACCCTGCAGGCAGGACACAAGCCCTCCAGCTCACTTGTGTCCCCACTTTCTCCTGCCTCACACGCAGGTGACTGTGGCTCCATTCACACATTTACGGTACCCAGCTGATGTCCACAGCATTTAGGCTAACACCCCTGCAGCAAACAAATAGCCAAACAAGAGAATTTTAGAGAGTACTAATATAAAAAAAAGAAATTCAGCTAATGTGATGGATGTGATATGACTGATGGAAAGGGCTACTTCGGAATGAGTGCTCAGGGAGGGTATCTCTCTGCAGTGTAACTGCAACCAAGAACTGAATTCTGACAAGCATCATAAGTCTGCCAGCTGAATAAAGCACTTCCAAGCAAAGGGGTTGGCCTAAGTTCTAGTCCTACCTGAGGATGGAATAACTCTGCTTGCTGAAGGAACAGCAAGGTTGGGAGAGCAGTAAAAAGATCACAGAGTGGGGACGAAGGCAGGTTACACAGGACCTTGCAGGCTAAGGTAAGAATTTGGGATTAAAAAAATGTTTTCAGTGGGACGTGATGGCTCACGCCTGTAATCCCAGCACTTTGGGAGGCCAAAGTGAGCAGATAGATCTCTTGGGGTCAGGAGTTCAAGACCAGTCTGGCCAACATGGTGAAACCCCATCTCTACTAAAAATACAAAAATTAGCCAGGCATGGTAGCATATGTCTGTAATTCCAGCTACACTGGAAGCTGAGGCAGGAGAATGGCTTGAACCTTGGAGGTGGAGGTTGCAGTGAGCTGAGATTGCGCCACTGCACTCCAACCTGGGGAACAGAGTGAGACTGTCTCAAAAAAACTTTTTTTTTTTGCCATTTTTGGTTAAAAAAAAAATTTTGGATTTTATTTCAAGTGTGATGGGAAGCCTTGGGGGGGTTTTAACTAGAGAATAATGTGATCTGATTTACATTTTCAAAAGATCACTCTGCTATATAGAAGGTAATGAAGCAACAGAGGAAGCAGGAAGATCCGTTAGGAAGCCATATTTTAGTGGCCCAGTAGGTGACAGTGGACAGGACCAGGATGGTAACAGAAAAGACAGAGAGAAGCAGCAGCCTCGGGCTGTCTCATGGAGTGTAACCAAAAGAGCGTTTTGGTGAACAGACAGAGGGGATAATGAAGGAGGGTCATCAAGGATAACTCCAAGGTTGTGGCTTGTTCCAACATTGACAGACTGGGGGCAATCCGGGGAGGTCACAGTTTTTGTGAGAGATCAAGAGTTTGACCAGGGATGAATAAATTTTCCCTACACTCAAGTCTTCCTGGACACCTCATTTCCCCTACCTGCCACCTCCAAGCAGTCTTCAAATTCAAAAATTTAAACTTCTCAATATCGAATCTCTTATCAAATGTACCCCTTCAACTTCAATACCCACTGCCTCTGTCTTGCTCTGGTCCTCTCTCTTGCCTTGACGTTTACAACAGTAGCTATGAATAAACTAACAGAAAGCACTTAATACATGTGTCTGTATCTCTCTCTCCCACCAGTCATCTTTGATGGCAGAAACCATGTCTTCTTCATATTTAATCCCCAGGACATATTTATTTGGGCAGAGTAGGCACTCAAATATCTGACGAACTGAAAAGAGGTCTTCTGACAGGATATCATCTCCCAAAGAGATGAGCCCCAACCATATAAAATGTACGATCAAGTCCCAGGAAACTTTGCCTTCCCAAGGAATGTGTGTCTAATTTGGTTTCAAAGCACACTGGTTCCCATTTTTACCACTTTAATGACATTGGACGATAGTATTACTCTTTTCCACTTTTCTTCTAGACCTAGCGACTTTACACTCTCTAAGCCTCATATCATCTTTGCAAGCAGGTCACAGACAGGATTATTCTCCATCTTACAAACAGAACTGAGGCCCAGAATGAAATCCCTTAGTGTCTTTTTGATGGAGTTAGGAGCCTTGACTCAATGGAGATCAGCCTTCCCCGACCCCACAGCACAGTTCTGTGACAGGAAGCTATCCCAGTCTCCCATCCTTGCAAAACTGCTGCTTAGTACTCAGGTGTTCCTAGGTTGTTCTGAAACATTTCAAACTTCTTTGGGTGTGAGGAAGTGCTGCCACAAAGCCAAAAATCATGTTCTCTCTCTCTCTTCTCTACCACTGTCCTCCGCACAGGGGAGGGATGGATTCCACCCACTGGGCCTGAGAGGAAGAAAAGCACCTTGGTCACTAGTTGGGGAGGAGTCACAGCCAGCAAGAAAAGAGAGAGAGATCTAAGTAGGCAAGAGTAGTTTCAACAGGAAAAAGGCCACCAGTGGGAAAGCCAGGAGACCCCTTCCAAAAGGCTTCCACCTGGGAAGAAAGGTGGCAGCAGCGTGGGAGCAGGTGGCCAGATCCCTCCTGCTCAATCCTCTGCACCAGGCCCTCCCAGTCACTTCTTGAGGACACCCAGGCTCTTCAGGGCCTCTTGGGCCTGGGTTAGCTGCTGCTGCAGCCTCTGGCGGGTGCTGTCATTGGAGGCCCGCTTCAGGAGGCCCTGCATCTCCTCCACCACAGCCCGGTGGCCAGGAGTGTTGTGAAAGAGCCGCACTGCCCGGTCCCCACAGGAGGCCAGAAAGCGGCCAGTGATGTCAAAGGACAAGTCAGCGATACACTCGCCATGGACCCGCTCAAAGCACTCCTCCTTCTCGCCCCGCCGGGTATTGTAGAGATGAATACTGCTGCCACTGGCCAAGGCCAAGACCTGGGCGTCAGGGGAGAGGGCCAGGCGGCACAGTGCGGCGCCCGCCGCCTCTTCAAAGCGGCCTGTCCTCAGTAAGTAGGGGTCCTGCTGCTTCTTGTATTCCACATCTGTATCCCACAGTTTCCATGTACCATCCTTGGAGACAGAGGCCATCCTGCGGCACGGAAAATCACAGCTCAAGCCCCAACACACCCTGGCAGGGTGAGCACTGGCTCAACTTGAGCGGCTCCAACTAGGAAGCTAAGTCTGCTTCCTGCTGAGGGCCAGGCACCCACCCACTTCAGATCCACAGCACAGACAAGCAGAAGGGCCCTGGTTGTCAGGGGCCAAGAGCCACAGGTCAGAGTGGACTTACTCACCTCCGCGAGTCGTTGGAGAAGGCAAACGAGAGCACAGCCGCAGAGTGGCCCTTTAGTTCAAAGGCTCGCACCACCTCCTGGAACTCCCCCTTCTTTCCAAAGCAGACTTCCCAAACCTTCACATCTGGAGTGAAGCCACACGAGGCCACAAATCTGCCAAACAACCCAGAAGCCTTTAGAACTTCATTTTGGGAGCATCTTGTTCCTGTAAACCCCTAAATCTCTTTCCTGAGAAAGTTGATATCTCATATCCGCATAATATAAACCTTTAAAAAGTTCTTTTATGTATGTGACCTCAGTTTATCCTCTAGCCTTATTCTAAGATATGTAATACCCCACCCTAACCTTTTAAAAACTATAGATGGCTTGGCGCAGTGGCTGACGCGTATAATTCTAGCACTTTGGGAGGCTGAAGCAAGAGGATCACTTGAGGCCAGGGGTTCGGGACTGGCCTGGGCAACACAGTGAGACCCCATCTCGACAAAAAATACATTAGCCAGGTGTGGTAGTGTGTGCCTGTGGTCCCAGCTACTTGGGAGGCTGAGGTGGGAGGATGGCCTGAGCCCAAGAGATCAAGGCTACAGTGAGCTGTAATTGCACCACTGCATTCCTGCCTGGGCGAGGGTAAAACCCTGTCTCAACAAACAAACAAACCAAAAACAAAAATCAGCTGAGTACAGTGGCATATGCCTGTCATCCTAGCTACTCAAGAGGCTGAGGTGGGAGGATTGCTACAACCCAGGAGTTTGAAGCTGCAGGGAGCTGACTGCACCACTGTCCTCTAGCCTGGGTGACACAGTGAGACTATCTAAAAAACAAAAACACTAAAGATGAAGAAATAGCAACTAAGGACTTGGGGTGGCCTGCATGAAATCCCACTACTGCAAGAGGGAGAGCTGAGACTTGAAACTCGGGCTCCTGACCCCACCCGGTGTGTTCTTCCCACATGATGAAGCTGGCTCTCTGTTCTGCGCCTGCTCCCCGGGCCCAGCCTCTCATGGTCCCAGATGCCAACAACCCTCCTTGCCTACCTGCCACAGGGGGATACAGCAGCATGTGTGTTGTTCATCTGGTTGGTGTTGATGGTAGATAGCACCTGACCCTTCAGGCTCCAGATGAGGACAGTGGTGTCACTGGAGGCAGTCATGATGAACTTCCCTGAGAGGGAGGGGAGTGATGTGGGCCATGGGCAGTCACCCGACCAGCTGTCATTCTCCAAAGACACTTACGAGGCCTCTGCTGCCGAAGTATACATGTCCCCTCCCATGCCAACGGTCGCCACAGATGAGGACTCTGCTGAAGACTGTGGCCCTTCCCTGCCTTCCCTAGGGACCTGGTGTGACCCAGGGACTCTAGGGGAACACAGAGCCAGGTTTTTCAGAGCCAGGGCCCTTTTGTCCTGCTGAGGTTGAGCAGAACTCTCAGGAAGCACTAACTCATTGAGGAAACAGAACTGGATCTTTCCTTCATGCTGTGGGCAGGTGCCGCCCTCTGAATGCCTCTTACCTGTGTCAGCAATGCCAATGTCGATGACAGGCGCCTTGTGCTTTTTAGGGAAATCCTCTGGGGTGGCTGTGAAGGTGTAGCCCCCATCCTCCCGCTTGGTCATCTTGAAGACACGGAGGGTGTCCCCGTTGGCCAGCCAGACGATGAAGGCTCTAGAGACAGGTAGCAGACAGGTCACTCTCTCACTCGACAAAGAGGCTCTGTGTTCCAGGTCCTATGCTGGGTTCTGGGGGAAGTCAATATTTCCCCTCATGCCCCACGGTCTAGCCTTACAACTTAAACCCCCAGTTCAAAATCTCATAAAACTACTCAAAGGGTAAGATTCCCACAGCTTTGACTCCTGTAGTTTCTCTCTAGGGTTTAGAAACCAAGGCTCATCTGGAAGCCAGGCCACGGTATTTCCGGGTAGGAAGAGACCTCCCCGTTTCCTTGCTGTGTAGCAGTACAGACCTCCAGGGAGCCCCAGGTAGCACTCCAACTATGTGGATGCTCTTTCTGGTACCCCAGTGGAGCCCCTGGATCTGGGTTCCTCCTCGCTACCTCAAAGCAGATACGGGAGGGCCAAAGCCTGGGGCTGGGCCTCTGCAGGCAAACCTGAGGCTCCGTCCTGTCCCACCTGCAGTCAGGGCTGAAGCGCACCAGGGTGGCGTGGTCCAGTTCCACATTGGCTCTCATGCTGCGGTGCTCCCGCTGTAGGAAGTCCTTGGTGCTCCAGATGCGGACGGTGCGATCATCTGCACAGGTGGCCAGGTATTTGCCATTGCTGCTAAAGTCCATGCAAGATATGTTCCCGCTGTGGCTCTGGGGGAAGGGTGGCAGGAAGTGTAAATGGGAGCTCCTTGGGGAGATGGCGACCCCAAACCTGGAGCCGTGACTCTGGGGCCCTATTGCCTGGATAACAGTAAGCCAAGGTGGGGCTGCGAGGAGAGGGGACAGAATTGGGCATCCCCGCCGATTCTGATCAGAGGCAGAGCGTTCTGTAACATGCATGGAATACAACAGAGGAAAAGCCTGTGGGGCTGAGTCTCAAGATGCATGCTGTGCCGGGTACCGCACATACCTTCAGCGCTGCAGCCAGGAGGCGGTGGGTGAAGTTGTGTTGTTGAGGCTTCTCCTTGCGAATCCGCTGTTGCTGTTTCTGCTTCTTGGATCCTGAGGATTTGTCAGATGGAAATCCATTTGCTTTTTGGCCTATAAGGAAGGGCCATGTCGTTCATACAGTCACTCACTGATAAGCACTCACTGCCCACCTGTGATTAGCCAAGCATTGAGTAGAACAGCAGATGAACCAGATACGGCCCTTGTCTTCGGAGGAGAGTGAGTGTGATATTGGCAAAAACAGAGGCTTTGGCTGGCCGGGTACGGTGGCTCATGCCTGTAATTCCAACACTTTGGGAGGCTGAGGCAGGAGGATCACGGAGCCCAGGAGTTTGAGGCTGCAGTGAACTATGATCACAACACTACTGCACTCCAGCCTGAATGACAGAGTGAGACCCAGTCTCAAAAACAAACAGAAAACAGAAATGAAACAGAGGCTTTGGTATCAGACCTGGGTTTGGATTCTGTCTCCTCTACCACTGACTGACTTTGAGGAGGCTGTGTACAGTAAGTCCACAGAGCACCTCCATGTGAAGTGGAAAAGGCGCACTCCCTGAGTGGGGTGGTACTGCTGAGTGGGTACACGGCACGGCCAGTGGAGTGTGGATCCTTGGCCAGATATCCCTACATAGGGAGTAACGTGCGCAATTGATCTGGTGGTCCTGCTTTGGGTAAGTCAGTGAATTGCTCTGGACTTTTTTTTTTTTCATTTCTTTCTTTCTGCCTTTTTTTGGGGGGGGAAGACAGAGTCTTCTATGTCACCCAGGCTGGAGTGCCGTGGGGTCGTCTCCACTCACTGCAACCTCCGCCTCCCGGGTTCAATCAATTCTTGTGCCTCAGCCTCCCAAGTAGCTGGGATTACAGGTGTGTACCACCATGCCTGGCTAAATTTTTTATTTTTATTTTTTTGAGACGGGAGTCTTGCCCTGTCACCCAGGCTGGAGTGCAATGGCGTGATATTGGCTCACTGCAACCTCCCCTTCTCGGGTTCAAACGGTTCTCCTGCCTCAGCCTCCTGAGTAGCTGTGAGGCATGCACCACCATGCCCGGCTAATTTTTTATATTTTTAGTAGAGAGTTTCACCATGTTGGTCAGGCTGATCTGGAACTCCTGACCTGTGATCCACCCGTCTCAGCCTCCCAAAGTGCTGGGATTACAGGCATGAGCCTGGCCTTTTTTTTCTTTTTTTTTTTTTTTTTTAGTAGAGATGTGGTTTCACCATGTTGGCCAGGCTGGTCTCCAACTCCTGACCTCAAGGAATCCACCCACCTTGACCTCCCAAAGTGCTGGGATTATAGGTATGAGCCACCGTGCCTGGCCCGACCTTTTTCTTAAAGAGAGGTTGAGAATCGGGCATGGTGGCTCATGCCTCTGGTCCCAGCTATTCAGGGGGCTGAGGAGGGAAAATTACTTGAGCCCAGGAGTTCGACTGCAGTGAGCTGTAATAGCGCCACTGCACTCCAGCCTGGGTGACAGAGCAAGATTCTGTCTCAAAAAAATAAAAATAAAAATAAGGGAGATTGAGTTGGATGAAATATCTACAAAGTGAAAAGCAAAAGTACCAAATACAAGCATTAAAGGCTCTATGGAGATCGGGTGCATTGGGTCACGCCTGTAATCCCAGGAATTTGGGAGGCTGAGGCAGGCGGATCATCTTGAGGTCAGGAGTTTGAGACCAGCCTGGCCAACATGGGGAAACTCTGCCTCTATTAAAAATACAAAGATTAGCTGGGCCTGGTGGCAGGTACCTGCAATCCCAGCTACTTGGGAGGCTGAGGCAGGAGAATTGCTTGAATTCCACCAGGAGGTAGGGGCTGCAGTGAGCTGAGATCACGCCACTATACTCCAGTACCTGAATCAGGAACTCAGGGATGAGAGGTCAACATGTGTTGGGCCCTGTGCTGGGGAGTGGAGCCAGCACTTTTGCATAAGATGCTTAATGGAGTCACAAAGCTGCCATATGTTAAGTGACTGCACCCCAATTTCAACAGGAAAAAAGCTCATGAGCCCTGCACACAAACAGAGCCACACAAACAGAACCACACAAACAGAGCCTCAAACAACCACACAGAGCCACACAAACAGAACCACACAGAGCCACACAAACAGAGCCACAATCTGTCTTCTGCTTCCTTCTCTCCAGGCTTATCTAACAAGCCCCCTCCTTACACTTAAGTCATAGCAAATGCTCTTTGGGGACTCCTTGCCTTCCTGGGTATTGCCATTGGCAGGAATGTCTTTTTTCCTTGGCTGTCTGGAAAATTCTTCTTCTAGAACCATCCTTTGAGACCCCACACTACCTCATGTGTCCCTTCTCAGTAATGATTTCCCTAACAACCACCTCCCCCATCAAAGAGCAGGGCTGACCGCTCTCCTCTCTGGTGTTTCCCGTTTCTAGTACTAACCTCCTCTATGAAACTTTTTTCAGAGACAGGCTCTCGCTCTGTCACCCAGGCTGGAGTGCAGTGGCACGATCGATCACAGCTCTCTCCAGCCTTGAACTCCTGGACTCACGCCCTCCTCTTGCCTCGGCCTCCTATGTAGCTGGGATCACATCCTGCTAATTTTTCGTAGAGATGGGGTCTTGCTACGTTGCCCAGGCTGGTCTCAAGCTCCTGGGCTCAAGCGATCTCCAAGCCTCGGCCTCCCAAAGTGCCGGGATTACAGGCACCAGCCACCGCGCCTTGCCTCAATGAAACTTATTTCACTGTGTTTTTCGCTTATATGTTTAGGTGGTCATAATCCAGACGTACTTCTCCTTTACTGGACTCCTTACAGAAAAAGACCCCAAAGCCTATCACAGGGTCCCAGATGCCCAGCAAAAGCTGCTGCACATCGCAAAACTGGTGCTTTTTCTGAGATCGCGGCCACGGAGCAGGTTGAAGAGTTTAGGGTGCTCTCCTGGCCACCCCGGGGACGGCCTGGCCTCGGCCACCAAGAAAGCCGAAGCGCGGAGCCCAGGTTCGAGCCACTTTCGCCCCAGGGGGTGCACCCAGCCCCGCCCCGCGTGGCGTGGCGAGCCCCCGTCCCTGGAAGCGAAGCTCACTTCACCAGAGGAGAAACTGAAGCCCAGGGAGTCGCCGGGCCCCACCAGCCGCTGGCCCAAGCCGCAGGTCGGACCACGAGGAGGCCAGGAGCCGGGACCCCGCGGGCCGCCCCCAACCGCCCCGGCCCCACTTACAGGCGGGCCGGCCGCTCCTGTCCTCCGCGCGCAGCCACCCGCGCGCTACCGCCGCAGTCGCCATCAGGGCCAGCAGCCCAAGCAACAGCGACAGCCCCATGAGTTCCGGTATCTGCGAAAACTCCATGTTGGCGGAGTCGCGGCCACCTCAGCCTGGGATTACGCGGGCGTCCGCACGGCTCGGCGGGGCCGCGTACGCACGTGGGGGCGGGGCCTGGCCGTTGGGACGCCTCGAGCGGCGGCGCCTGGCAGTTAGAGCGCCGGGAAGCGGAGCCTGATTGCTACAGCGCCTTGAGGGCGGGGCCAGGCCGTTGGAGCCTCTCAAGGGGCGGGACCCGGCTGTGAGAGAGCCTTGCGGGGCGGGGCCTGGCTGTAAGAGCTCCTCGAGGGGCGGGGCTTGGTGGTAGAGCCCCTCGAGGGGCGGAGCCTGGGTGTTAGAGCGCCTTGAGGGCGGGGCCTGGCCGTTAGAACTTATACAGCGGCGAAACCTGGTTATTAGAACGCCTCGAGGGGCGGAGCCTGGGTTAGAGCGTCTCAAGGGGCCGGGCCGGGTTGTTAGAGTGCCTCGAGGGGCAGAACCCAGAGGTAGAGCGTCTGGAGAGGCGGGACCTGGTTGGTGGAACTCCTGTAAGGACAGGGCCCGGGTTAGAGCGTCTTGAGGGGCCGGGCCGGGTTGTTAGAGTGCCTCGAGGGGCAGAACCCAGAGGTAGAGCGTCTGGAGAGACGAGACCTGGTTGTTGGAGCGCCGGGAGGGACAGGGTCTGCGTTAGAGCGTCTCGAGGGTGGGGCCTGGAGTTAGAGCCTCTTGAGGGGCGGAGCCTGGTTATTAGAGCCCCTCGAGGGGCGGGGCCTAGAGTTAGCGCCTCTCGAAGGGCGGAGCCTGGTTATTAGAGCACCTCGAGGGGCGGGGCTGGGTGGTTAGAGAGTCTCCGGGGGCAGTGCCCAAAGATAGAGCGTCTCAAAGGGCGGGGCTGGGTTGTCAGAGCGTCTTGAAAGGCAGAACCCGGCGGTCGAGCGCCTCGAGGGGCGGGTGGCTTGGCGGCTGGGATTGCGTCGCGGTGGAGGGAGGAGGAAGGTGGGATTCGAAACCCTTGTTCACTCCTCCTCTTGAAGAGTTCACAGAGAATCGCTTATCAAAGGCGTTATTCCAGCGATCACCACACTGGATCCTTTCAAGGAAGAGGGGCAGGGATTATTATTCCCATTTAACGGTTAGGAAACAAAAGATGGGCTTTTACTTTTTCTGCTGGTGGAGAAGGGGAAGAGTAGGCCGGGCGCGGGGTGTGGAACAGCCTCCGCAAAGACCTGAGCAGCTGGAATGTGGGAAATGGCTCAAAAGGTCTGCGGAAAGTTGAGCTCTGGCTCCATCCAACAAGCTGCTCGTTACAGGGCGGGGTGGGGCAAAAGGTGTGTCTGAGAATTCAGACCTTTGGATGGACCTTTGTATGAAAAGACCAAAGACAGAAAACCAGCAGTGGCTGTAAGGGCACGAAAGGCAGGTGACGAGGGCCTGGATTTGGGGATGGCCTGGCAAGTGGAAAATCGAAAGCGAGAATTTTTAATAAAAAACTTCTATTTATTTATTTATTATTTACTTTTGAGACGGAGTCTCACTCTGTCGCCCAGGCTGGAGTGCAGTGGCGCGTCCTGGCTCACTGCAACCTCCGCCTCTCGGGTACAAGTGATTTTCCTGCTTCAGCCTCCCAAGCAGCTGGGATTACAAACGTGTGCCGCTACACCCAGCTAGTTTCTGTATTTTTTATAGAGACGGAGTTTTGCCATGTTTAGTCCAGGAGCTTCAGACCAACCTGTGCAACATAGTGAAACCCTGTCTAATAATAATATAAAAAGGCTGGGTGTGGTGGTTCACACCTGTAATCCCAGCACTTTGGGAAGCGAAGGTAGGCAGATCACCTGAGGCCAGGAGTTCGAGACCAGCCTGGCCAACATGGTGAAACCCCATCTGTACTGAAAATACAAAAATTAGCCAGGCATGTTGGTGCGTGCCATGCCCGGTGGTGACAGTGAGATTCCACCTCAAAAAAAAAAAAAAAAAAAAGAAAAAAATACAAAAAATTAGCCAGACGTGGTGACACATACCTATTGGCAGGCTGAGGTGGCTGAATCACCTGAGTCTAAGGCTGCAGTGAGCTGTGATCATGCCATCAAACTCCAGCCTAAGCAACAAAGCGAGACCCTGTCTCAAAAAAAAAGGTG